CCCCGCCGTGCTGGAGCCCGGCTGCTCGTTAATTGAATCTGCCAATCATCGTAATGAGCGTCAGCGCTGGATCCGCTGTCCGTTCTTCGTTGTTGCTGTTCAGGGCCCTCGAGCTTGATGCTCGCCGGTTTCGAAAAACGAAATATGCATCTTGCTCTCTGCAACCCTATCCTAAGAAATGTGAGCAATTTTCTTCGCCGACCGGCTTTCGTGAATTTGATCGATATCGCGAACCCCGTCTAGAACCGGGTCGTAATTGTTGCTATTCGTTTTCATTAATTATACCGTGAACGATTATCAAACCTCGAGTAGCTAACGCGTTGCGAACGATTGAATCGTTCGTGCGAGTAGCTGCGAATTGATACGCGTTTTCGTTCCAACTTCTTCTTCTTCTTTATGGAACGGTCTGACGTTTCTATGGCGTTTCATCAATCTTTTCAAATTTATTTTCATTCTTTCTAACCATTCTTTCTTTTTGTTTAGGCGAGGCTGCGTTTCCGAAGACAAGTCGACGAGAAACAAATGTTTGCTCTATCCTGGAGGTAAGCATTTAGTTTTTTATATTACGTATTCGTTATTACGAAGCACTTAATAATCGCGTCTTTTCTTAATTTTATCTCGTTACAGGGTTCGACTTGGATGGTAAAAGGTGTACCAGGCGGGGCCACATCCGAATTACCCAGACAGGGGACGACCGCCTTGCAGAACGATTCGCAGAACAACGCAGTGATATTGTCAGGTATTTATTATTGAAATTATTTTCCTGCGAATAAATGTACGCTTCGCCATTGGATTTCGCATAGATTTCAATTACGACGAAGTTAGAATCGAATCGTGTTTTACGAATGTATCGGGCGGCACGACTCGGCTACCGAATGACGGGAGAAATTAATCAAAATAATCATCTCTTGGGCCCGGGGCGGCCAGCGGGGCCTGTCATTTACTCCCCTGGAACTCTTCTTCGCCGACCTACCTTCTTTGTCGATACCCGTTTTATACAGGCCGTTTCCAAGCACGCGGAAAGTAGTTGGGAGATAATCGAAAAGATCCTGACTTATTATATCGCAATTAGATTTATAGATATTATACATGAAACGTAAGGTTTTCATCTTGTTCTATCTAGTAACGTAGGCAGAAAATTTTACCGAGGAATACGCAATAATCTAGTTTTCTATTAAATATCGATTTCAAAACACCTTGTATCCACGATGTTCGGAAGCTGGTCGAAATGTTTAGTCGAAAATTTAGAAATCCGACGATACATTCTTCTTCCGAAGGTAGAATTTTAAATGAAACGTTTCGGGGATACGTCTGACCTTCGAGAATAATTTCGAAATATTTTTCATCGATTATTAGCTGCACAAGTCAATACGGTTTAACTAAATTAGGAACGTGAACACCTGTTTATGCTAATGTAATATAGAAATCGAATAATTCAACTAAAATATCATTCGTTCGAACCAAATTACAAGTGTCATAATATTTATGGGCAGTGGTATATATGAATCGAGTCATTTTCATAATTGCCGGTTCAAACTCGTTAAACAAATAGATAAATAAAAAAACGCAACGAAGACAGATGTGCTTAAGCCACATGCGGTGATAACAGCCAAACGATATACCGCGTTTCTATCATGAGCGTTCGATTTTCGAGGCAAACATTTCGAGCGAGCGCAATTACCAAGGCCGCCCAAGGGAACACGACCGCGCCCCTGCTGCGTATTTAAAAGCAATTTCGAGTCGTGTTCCGTAACACTTGTTTGTGATATTTATCGTACCGGTGATTCCATTAATAAACTCAGAGGAATCGAATCGAGCCGCGACTTCCGTCGTCGATTTACAGTCTCGATACGTCTGGAATTACATTCGCGAGTAATACTCTATTCGATCGAAACGAAAATTTGGCCAACTTTTGTCGGGAAAATCGAGCTTGAACCGCAGCTACGTTACACGCGTTGTTTTTTGTATTTTTAGCTATCGAATCGAGTTAAACTTTCTACGTTTCAAAATTCGATACGAAACAATCCAATAAAACTGTAAACTGGTCGTGCAACAATCGTAAAAACTTTCTGATGTATCTAATAGAAACAGAGAGAGGAAGAGATAGGGAGAGAGGGTGGGATCGGAGGGCGCAAAGTAACGCTATAGGACACGCGAATGAGAAACGGGACGGTGTTCCGTGAAGGCAGGAGGTCCGAATGGGCCAATAACTTTGCGAGCTTATGTTCTTGAATATAAAGGGGACGGTGGTAGTTTGCGGGTACGATGTCACTCGAGTATCCCTCGTAGCCACCCTTCCTATTATTCCTCTGTCCCCTTCCGTTGCGACGTTTCTGATGCACGACTGTCGTTCTTATTCAAATGCACGCCCCTGCAAAGCGAACGCGATGGCTCTCGCAAATTCGTCCAATGATTCACGATTCGTCGTTACTTTCACGACTCCGGTCGAACAATCCAAAGATACACGCCTCGTCATACTAAACGTGGCGTTAACGTGACCACGTTTTGCCGTAGCTCGTTTCTAACTCGTGAACGACGTATTTGGATTTAAAGCGAGCTTATCGAGCGCGAACGAGTCTCTTGAGACGGGACGAGAGCGCGAGAAGTTTCTTGCAGAAATCCATGTATAAACCGTGCGTAAATGTAACGAGTTTTCAAAACTTAACAGATTAACCGAAGCGATTCCGTATCGTATAACGATAAGTGTAATTAAGAACGGTGATGGATGTTCGACGAGTTTAGCTCGCTACAGAGTATCGACGCAACAGTTACAGTCTCTGACTCTTCCTTAAACCGATATAAACGTCGCGGAATTGATTAAGTCAACGATTATATTTATTTGAATAAATTATCGATTAAATCCAATTCACAAACTCGTTCAGCCAGACTCCGAACAGCAGACTATTTCGAAGAACAGTTGCGGGTACTCGTCCACGGACACACGCGGCACGTTGCCCACGGGCTCCTGTGGCGCTCACCGGGCTTCGACACCCACACGCCGTGTCACCTCAGCAAACACATAAATAACAACGGTTTCGGAGTCCCCGCGTCACCGTTCTTTCGTATTGGCCATTTTCGACTCTACATGAGGCATCTCGAATCGTTCCAACTGACTCTCGTTTTCTATCTAGACTTTCCAATTAAACGAACGTTTCGTGAAAAAATTTCCACGGGTTGCCAAGAATTTCGCCAGTTAGCGACTCGAAGTTTGCGGAACATAACGGTATCTTACAAATTCCATTTAGCATCGTTTCTAGGTAATATATGCTAGATTATCCGTCCGTTGGAATCCCAAACGAAGGTGGATCGGTCGAACGAACCCTGATTTTCCGACAGGAAATGGGAGCAAGGTGGCACATGGTCAAGGTAGACGGTAAATTAGAGGTCGGGAAAAGGGAAGAGAAAAGTTTAGCTCGTTAACGAGCGAAGTAAGCGATCAAGCCGGAATTGCTCGAACGCGACGATGATGTTCCTTCGTTTGCCACCTGTTGGCTAACGTGAAATTTCCAAACACGCGCGTTCGACGATAGAGACGTCGAAAGTCACGAATCACGAAGCGAACTCCTCGAGGCGACCACGTTCGAATTCGCTATTTTCTGATCGCGTTAGCCGAGTGAAAATCCAGCTTTGACGTGTTCATTAGGCAACAGCTGGGCTGTCGCGTTAATAATTACGCTTACCGAGAGCAAAACGGGAATCGGTTGTTGAACGATCAACCCACGCGGATCTCGCGTGGCCGCGAGCCATTCGATTAATCGTGCGTTTCGTTTGTCGAGAACCACGGTCACAATCGTACGCAGCAACGGATAGTATGTTACCGCTGTCACGAAACTGACGTTTCGCATTTGCCGTGTTGAACGAACGACGAGTACCGTAATACGATTGCGATTACGACTCGGTGATCGACCAACAACGAGATGGCCTTAAATTGCCTCTGGAATGTCCGAGAATACGTTTCTCGAACGGTTCGATGCTTTTTTCATGGGAAAATACTGTCGAAATTGACACGCGAATTTCTGTGCCGCGTCTCGACGAGCTTTCAAGTTCGTCCGCGTTATTAGCAGAATTTTCAAGACACATGGCACGACCGAGGTAGTTTCCGTGATTCGATAGCACGGAATTATAATTTGCCATATTTTATTTGACATATTTCGTCGAGTTTTCGCATAAAATCGCTATCTCCGCGGTCGCGGCATCAATTACGAAACAACTTATATATTTTGAACTTTTTTTCTTCTCGTTCGGTTCCAGAATTGGCCATTTTTTAGCGTTGTCCCTTCTCAACGGACGCTCGGCTTCTCCTCTAGGAATGACTTACGATCTTCCCCAATCTCGAAGGAATTCTAATCTACCGGTTGGACGTGGGTCTTAATAACGAGTCTATCTTAATTAAATTAAAATTCTCATCGAGGGGGCCCACCACCACGGTCGGTTTCTAGGGCGTGTCCGGTCCGTTGGTTCGAGACGAGCGAGTCGACGAGTTAGCGGTAAGCTGACCTCCGTGACTCGACCGGAGGAAAACAGTTGTCGAAAAATCGTTCGAAAGTTCTCACAGAGGTCCGTGGTAAATTAATCTATTCTCTGTAGGGGCTAATCGATGAATTTACTTTGTAGTTTCCACGCCTTTCGCTCGGTCGGTCTAGTCGAACCGAACAGGACGTCTCGAAACGATGTTCCCTGTCCGCTGAAGCATCCGCGAGGCATAATATTACCATTCTTTATTCTTTAACGATCGTCAGCCAGTGTGTTTCACGGTCGTGGCTCGTTCTATCCTCCTTCTTTCTCTCGGCGTTGTTTCTTCTTTACGATTCCGTCCCAATTTATTACGAAACCGAGGGCTTTTCCCGCAAGTGTAGTCGAACGAAGGCGTCCGCTCGTCGTTGCTTTCTCGAACGCGCCCTCATTTCGTATTCATAAAGTGGTGGGTTCCGGAGGGTCTCTTTAATATTCGAAGAATACGACGAACGAGGCTTCCACGAGTGCTGTTTCGACGGGGACCCCGAAGAATCCTCGTCGGTTAATTACCGTAAAATACGACCGATCGAGAAATTCGGCTAAGCGTGCTGCGTCGTAAATCGAGCAATATAATTCACTTTACGTTAATAACCCGTCTAATAAGAGTTTCGTCCCGTCGCCGTTGTCGGATACACGCGTGTCGAATAATCGGTCGGATTCGCGATATAACCAGTGTATCGACAGGTTTCTTCGCGGCAACGAGAATAGAGCCGTAACGAGACCGGTAGACGTTTAACGATTTCCCGACAAAGGCAGCGTACTTTCTTCCACGCGATCACTCTATTCGATCGAGACGCGAATACTCCGAGTATCGATCTTTGCAGGGATTTTCACGTCCATTCTTCTACGGTTATAGACCTTTTACCGCGTACTAATCGAGGAAGGTTTCGCGCGGAGAACGAAGGAGAGGGGCAAGAGAGGCATCAATTACGTTGAAACTCGTTTTGGTCGACTGGTTCGGTTTAAAATTTTCGAAAAATCCTCGTTTCGTAATTGTTTATTGTGATCGAGGGTTCGGCCTGGAACGAACCGCCCCCCCGCGGTGCATCGCGAATGGGATCTAAAAGGAAGAGAGGAGTGGAACGTGGGTTCCTACCGTTAACATCCGATTTTACGACGCATCCTGGTCGCGCGAGGCGTGCACCTCGCGGGGCACTATACAAGCCCCCGTAATTTGATAATATAGGGTTATGGTGGCGCCAAGCTGGGCCGTTTAAATTCATA